CAGCAGCAGCGCCAGGAGTGCGGCCAGCAGCGCGGCGGCGACGCTGAGCGCTCACAATGGCTGGGCGCGGGCGGGCGGCGGGCGCGGCGGCGGCTCTGCGCGCACTCATAAGGGGATGTTACACAACCACACAAAATGTGCGAAGTGGTTGTTCCACAACCACACAAAAAAAGTGGCGTCCATTTCTGTTTTTCTATACGTTTGAGTCGGTAAGTTCCGAAATCCAGTGGCCTTTTACACACCATTTAACATCAGTTTTGGACATACACTCAACAATATAAAGAATTAAAGATTTCTATCGAGCAGTTCTATACTCATGCATCGTATATGTGATCGGGGACGTTGAACCGATATCTGAAGTCCATATTAGACTCTATCACATCGAAATATAGATTTTTCACATAACTTCCAAAACATTTTTAATACAACCCTGTGTCTGGTTGGAGGGAACGCCTATGTGTTTGGCGCAACGACATAGTCAAAGGCTGACGTTACAACAACGTGAAATTAGTGTTGTCTCCGTAGGACTAATACCACTTCTCTATCATATATTTGAATTCTATCCGAAGTTTACGAAATCTGATGTGATGAAGTGAACCATAGACTTAGTTATGTCTTTAGCGACCCCCCAACTTATTATAGGTAACAAGTTTGGACCCCTCGATTATAATATATTCTTGGTTTATATATTTTCAGATTATTAAAAAAACCTGATGTGATGAAGTAAATGGAACCACCGAATTTGATGTAGTGAATGCGATAAACGTATAGAAAAACTTTGGTCAGACACGAACACAATTTTTTTTGTCTGGCATGTATTCGTTTACGTCATGGGCATACACCGCTCTGAATGCAGAGGCTTCCAGGATTAATAGAGAGTTTTCTATCATTCTCTGAATGATACATTTAAAACATTTTAATGATCGTCTTTTAGTTTTTCCAAGGAAAGAGTTTCGCAATAAAGTAAGTTATGGACAGTTTTAAGAACTATGTTCCAAAAAGAAATTATAGATTATTCAAAATAATAATCATAATGTAATCACTAACTACGCAAGCAGTAGTCTTGATTTAATATATAGAAAGGGGGAACTTGGATTTGGTAACGATTTTAAATTGAATTTCAGTATCTCGCAACACGTTTGCAGGTATGAGGGACCGAATCTTACGGTCTGTACTGCTCTAACTTTATTGTACTTCAATCAGCCAATCATCGGCCTTGTAAGGTCTCTCTGAGGCAATTTAAATAGAACACTTAAGTCTAACACAAGGAAAATAAGATTATTTGTGAATTTAGTGACCGATATAAATCGGCAATGCATCCTTCGTACACTGTCCGCGATAGCATGTCCTTCTTGAAATCCACCGATTATATTGTTGACAGTACCTTCCCAAGTCTAGAGATCGCTACTGATTGAGGTTTAAAAACCAGCAATGTCCTGTTACTATTTCCTCGCACAATATTCAGGCCCCATTCTCTAGTGAACTAGACCCAGAACTTGGCAAATTTTTAAATGAATATTTTAGAAAAGTTTGCAGAGAATATTTATTCATGGTTATATGCTTTTTAAAGAATACTTTGTTGAAGATCAGATAGTAAAAACTGTAAAATGAGGTTAAATTTTGTTAATTTATTCGCAAAAAAATGTTCAGTCAGATATCAGTTCTTTATAAAACTTTAAAAAAACAAAGAGCTATATTTGTATGTCACAAACCATAAAATAACGATGATTATAAAATTCCTAACACTCGAGTCCCTGCATAACGCACTGGGACGCACTCACGGAACTAACTTAACCCTGCATTCGACTGAATCCATTGGCAATGTTGGATCGTTTCATAGTTAACTGTTGTTTGCGGTGCACGAACTCCAGAACTCCACTTAATGAAATTGCTGTGTGAAAAAGTCATTTTTTTAATGGTATAGCCAATGAGAAACTTCCCGTATTCGCACGCAAACCGAATTTGTTTCAAGTTGTGGCAATTAACAGAATTTTCTGTGCTGCGCAAAACACTTGCCAGTTAAGTAGATGTGAGAACGTTTAGAGGAAAAACATTCAATTCGGAGAAAAGTAACAGACCAGGAAATGATTATGACAACGTATGACGCTTTCATACTTTGTCATAATTGCGCAGGAAATTGAGAACGTTCAGCTTTTTGGGGCGTTTACGCCATTTCAGAACGACAAAATTCACTATGGATAAATAAGGAACATCCTCAAAAACTTGCAGAGCGCCAACATTGCCGTAATTATTGAAATCACTATAAAGACTTTATCCCAATGTAAATTTGCATTTTTCTTCCAAATAGTTGAGAATAAACGATAGCCATAAAGCAATAAATTAAATTTTCACGGTTATTTATTAGGTAATATAAACTGAAATAACGAAATTACTTCATGGTTTTTAGCGCATTTTATATGTCCAATTTGTGAGTGATTCTTTACTTAAAAATTACTTCATTAATTTCTAATATAAACACGTGGCGTTGTGAACATAGACTTTCGTTCAAATTTCAGTTTATTCAAACGGAATTTCTATACACATGCATTAACATATGTTACACTTTTTACAAATGATAATAGTTTAAATTTTGGTTCTGCAAGTTCCATTGATAGAAATAAAATGTTTTAAACTAAACTGAATATTTGTGTTCGTTAGATTTTTGTTAGAAACTTTGGTCATTTAATATATTTTAAGGGAAATGTAGAATTTAAATCTCTAAAATCCTTAACAACGCGTCGTTCCAATTAATTATGTATGACATAGTGCATTTCTGGCATCTCTTAGTTTTATAGAAATAAAACTGTTGCTGCGAGTCACTCAGTTGCAGAAAAGCTTTTCTGCTGAAATTGTGGACGGTTTCTGCTGAACCACGTTATGCGTCTCATGCTAACGGGTCAGGTGTCTGCCGCCAAGTTAACAAAAATGAGAAAACGACATTTCATTGCTCACCACCTGGTCATTCCCTTCTTAGAATTGCGAGCAGAAAACGTGCGCTCCTTCCATAATCAAGTAAAAATGTATGACTACAAGGAGTATTTACAATTCCAATGCCACTCATTAAGGCGTGGCCGCCTTTCTCATACCACTTGATAACTTCAGAGCATAAAGTCTGACTCCACTATTAAATGAGTTCATAATTAGGCACAAAGTACGCTCCGTCAGATAATCCACCGCATCATGATCCGGCCTCTTTTCTTCGTTCCGAAAGTTGATACCTATGAGCCTTTCTTTTATTTTATAATCCGAGATATGTCCGGATATTGACATTTATCCGAGATGAAGTCACAGATATCCTGTGACATTCATAGAAAATTGGTATACATATAATATAACAATAACAATTGTTAGTATGAATTCATTTTCCTTTTGTATGTTTTCCGGATTTAATGATAGTTGGCACGAGATTCTGGAGTTTACCGATTAATTTCACATCCCTAGCGCAAGCGAAATGTATTTAAATCACCTGACGCCTCCAGTTGTTCTTACCAAAAGTCAAGGAGCGGAGCTGTTGTCGTGTGCCTGCGTTTCTTAGGATATCTGCTTCGGATTCGTTCAGGTGATGACAGCAGAAATCCCACGAAAGACTAACCAAGAGCTGACTATCTATGATCAGAGCAGCAGGCCTGCTGAAATATTCTCTTAGACATTGCTAAATTCGATCTAGCTTTCTAGGCAGTGCTAAATTCGCGCGTCGGAACTCAAAGCCTAGCGACCTAACCTGTAAGAGTTGCTAACATGATGGTACTGCTGTATCTAAGGTCAGCCAGTCAATAATTAGTCTCCAAAGCCAATGAATAGACAAAGATAAAGATGAAAAGTTTTCGCCAAAGTTTGTTTTTATTGTAAGTAAAATAGAAAATAAACATTCGAAAAGTTTGACTTATTACAATATAGAAACGTTATTCTACTTCGGGCTCATTATGACAAAAGTAGATAAACACCATTGTGAAATGGGTTTTTAACCTATCTGATTCGCCTCCTGGAAAAATCTCACAGGTGTTTAGTTCACTGGGACGAGATGGTGACAACATGTAAACGGGTAGATTAAGCATATGCATGTGCTAAAATGTAACACGAACATAATTTCTTATGTACAACAATTTGAACACAACACAAAAATTATTCTATTGAACAACACGCTGTAGTTACTTAAAAACTTTAAGTTATGATTCATCTTCCCAATTAACATATGCCCGGACCGAATTCCACTTCCTTTCCTCATGCGAGAAAAATCATGCCTAGCACATAATTGTCGTTGTTCTTCGTATGTAATGGAGTGGAACTTCCTTGATTTCAGATTCCCCGTGTCCGGCTTGTTTACTTACAAAATGAAACTTGGGGACTAAATCGAGATTTGTCTCCTCTAGGCTCATCATATTAGATTTCTCACCTTACTTACAGGCACGCACAGTCCACAATGCGATGATTGTGCCTTTCATATATGGAAGAAACAACTGAAGAACATCTGGTCTGCAAAATATTAATGCCACTTTTTATTAATAGTTTTTCTAGTATTTTTTCATTATGATTCAAACTTACACAGTGCCTGTCTTGTCTCCCCCTTCTCACCCTCTCTTCCACTCTAATGTTCGTCTATCTTTCTCTCTCTTTCACTATTTTTAATCCGGCTCTTCGTACTCTACAACATGTATTAAGATACTAGCAAGTTTTTAACATTCGGCGCCAGAAATGTACACATTCACAATTTGTAGAACAATTTTGATTCTCTGAGAGGAAGCTTTTTACCTCGCTCAGATATCTGGACATTACGAAGGGTGCGGAAGACTCCATGTGGCAGACCATAGAATCAAATACATATGTAATTGAAAGAAAATTGTATACAATTAAGAATAATGATACGTGGATTGTAATATTCTATCCATATATATATTATATATATATACCCAGCATTTTCTAGCACATATATGTCCAATAATTCAGTTTTTAGAGGTATGTCAAGGGCATATGTATAATTGAGTATTATGTGCTTTGCAAACCTTACACTAGGGGTACAGGACATGGCGACGTCTTTTTTTGAAGAACTTGCAAACATTCTCCTGGTGCTCAGATTTCGGCACATTGTTCTTTATTCGAGAGTATATGAAACTAATATTTCACGTGTTTTGGCGCAGGCCTGTGAATTGAAGAAGGCAGGAAGAACCACGAAACGATTATGCGTGGAAACGGGTTCAGAATACGAAACATCGTCAAGAGTTCAAAATGACTAAACTTCAACGATGTTAAAAAAAAGGTTGTAAACGAGGAAACACTTTTTTGCTTTTTACAAGGAATCGAGGAAAACTTAGCATAGTCTTGCCCCCCCCCACCATTCGTATTCGCCTGTTAAGAATGACGTTTTTGAATGTCACTCTTTGTGCGTCCCGACGATGTAGCGCCGAGTCGCCAAAACTCTATCCGAGCTGCAGATCCCGCGGAGGAAACATTCAGTAGATCGCAGTGTGAGATTCAGGTGTCTGAACCTGGAGTTGCTCCTCGGATGGACTCATGAAAAACAGCTTGCCTGCATAATGCCGACCAATTATCTCTGGTTCAGTCATACGTATACGTTGCATGAGCTTGATATTATGTCCTTTATGTTCTACTACTGTGAACTAACAATGTCTATCCAGGTTGTCTGGTAAGCTCTCAGGAGATTAATAACGAAGTACATTTGCTCAGAAGCTTCATAAGGTTGCGCAACGCACGATCTAAGCATGTGCGCAACCCCTGCAAGTAGGCACCCCGCGGCGCAGGCTTAGGGTATAGAGCCATTCTGTGCTAATGGCGCCGTTGGAGAGTGGGGCTGGGTTGGGCTGGGCTGGGCACGACCGCGCGGGCGGGCACGCGCTCTGCAGGCCGACGGCCGGCCGCGGCGGTGGCGCGGCGACGACGACGACGACGACGAACAGACGACGGTGGCAGGGCGTGGCAGCCTCCCGCACTCACGCACACGCACATGCGCGGGCAGGACCCGTGCACACCGCGGCCCCACAGCCGCTCGCCTCCCGCCCGTGGACCCAAGTTGGAATGGAAGGCTTCCAGCAACAAACTAGATAGCCAGATCAGCGCAGAGAAGTCTCCCGCTATTCTGATAATGACAATAGCTTCTTTTTTGGTTAATTACTTCTTTCATTCCCAGCCAGGTCGTCGTAAACACTGTGGTCATTATTCCGATTAAATGTAGTTTGTTACCGCAGGAAGGTGGCGATTGCGACTCACGTGATATCCGGAAGGCCGGACCAACACCACGGGGCGCATTATGGTCCTCCCCAAAGGGAGCACTTGCCCTAGCAGGTTCAAGCTCGCCGATAGCCTTCCCGATTCGTGTAGAAATGAGAAACTTGCACAAGTGTGTATTTAGGGAACGAGCAGGACAAGGAATAGGGAAACAAAGATAACGCGCCGTCTAATAGCTCGTTTGTTAGTGTCTGCTCCGGCGTTCCCCTAGTGTTGAACCGGATAAAGCCGTGAAAAGCTTACCGGATCAGAACAGTTGGCACGCTAGATTGTCCTCAACAGCTTCTGCAATTCGGCCATAGGTGCTGCTAGCGAGTGTTCGTAAAGATCACCCATCGCGACGGGACTCGTATCCTAGGACCTCCCAGTCAGAGAAACTACAGTGACGACCGTTAATTCCTTGAATTATCTCAGACGGTCAAAATTCGGCAAAGAGTGGCTTATCTCTTTGCTCTACGTGTGTCGTATTCATGAATTAAAACAGCTTGGAGCTGTAAGAAGATGAACGATTCTTCCACCAAAAAAATGATATTAACATTTCTGAAGAGCGAGAGACTTCCTGCGGCTGATATGGCTTATCTAGTTGTTGCTGGAAGCCCTGCTGGATTGCGTGCCTATCTCTGTCCCAGGCCCTTCAATTCCGGGCATTTGCAACTACCGAGCGTTTGTAGAAGGCAAAATACTGACCGTTTCTGGTTTTCCTGAGCTGGCTTAGTGATATTTCAGTAAGCTGTATTGAAGACAATTATGTGCGTCGCTTCCCCTCTAAGCCGCGTCAACACCGTAACCATGACCGCATATTCCCTCCCAATATGCACACGTGAATGTTGGACGATTACTGTATGTGCGGAGAACAGAATAGAAGGCAGGCCACAGGAGATTATTATATTTAACTACCTAAATGTATACTCTTAATATAATTAATTCTCTGAATTTGGTGATGTAGCAGAATGTACAGAAACAGAGATGCCTCTCCGTAATGGATGCTTCGTCACTTCACTTTTTTTATTCGGAAATGGCAAACGTGAGATAAACCTATTCTTGGTTCTAACATTCTAATCCAGTCGTGTTCAACTAGCTGGTTTCTGGGAGCCGTGACTCTGAAAACGTATGGGCCCGGCCCATTACCTCCACTCACCCCTCTCCCCTTCCTCTCTCCTCTTTCCCTCTCCTTTTCCCCTCTCCGCGTTACTCTCTGCAGGCGGCCATCTTCCTCTGACTTAAATTCTGATTTATCGATCACGCACTTAAATCGAAAAACGTTCGCAATGTCTTCCCGAGAGCTAGCTGAACTATATTGCTCTGAAAATCCTACACGAAAAACAGCCGAAAAGAGAGAAAGTCTAAGATAATTAAAAATACCAATAATCCTCTCGTGTACGAGTAAATTATCTGGTAATTTCTGATGTGAAAACAAAAGAGGTGTGCTCTTTGTCTGTAGACTGAGAGAATGAAAGCGTGTCACATAAAAGGAAACGGAGGCAGATCCCTATACGGATTTAATCTTCGCACACCTGAACTTGTAGTTAGACACGAGGTTCCAGTGGCAACATGTGTGTCTGCGGCTTTCCTGGACAGTGATTATAACGAAGACAGGAGGATTCGACAGAATGCATCGCAGTGTTGTCATGTTCTCATAAAAGGAATAGGCGCTGGAGTCAATGCGTATATTCCTTCCGAACATAATGCGCAATGAAACAATGTGAAATGGCAGTATTCCTAGAAAACAGGGCAACAGCAAAACCTGTTTCCTTATGAAAGGATGTTTCATGATATTAGTCGGTTTAAATTTCAGACTACCATACAGTCCGAAAATACATGGTATTTTTGGTGTGCTTTTAGTATGATTGATTTACTGATTAGCGATTCCGAGACAAGACATGTTTATGATGCATGTGTTTTCCTCGAGAGGTGGCGGTGATTTTCCCCTGTTAATGGTGAAATCCGGTGCTCACCTACCGCCGGCTAACGGGAATTCCTTCAACCAAGTATCTCCAAAAATCAAGGCACCGCCCCTGCCGGGAAAAGCTGTACGCTCCCGACCGGTCACTAGGTGTGGTAGTGTAGTAAATGTAAGTGTAAGTGTGTGTAATTAAAGAGCGAGGATTGGATAAAGAAGAGGAAGGAAAGATCGTGCGCAGTCCGTAGCCCGTTTGTTTAGGTGCTGCTCCGGCATTCATCTGAAATTTATCTAAGAATCGACGTAAAATTACGAGAACAGCAACCGACCGCTTGGATTATCCTCCTAGCGATTGAATTCGACCTAGATAATATAGAAAATCCTGTCACCATCGAGACTCGTACCTAGGACCTCCTAGTCAGAGGCCCTGCAGTGAAATCTGTTAATGTCCTGAGCCACCTCGTCTGGTTATTTTAGTATGATATTTCGCCGGATAATGGTATGAGCTGACGTTGAATTTTAAAAATTATTATTCAATTTAATTTATCATTCAAAATTTAATCTCATAATATTTACAAATAAAAATACGGCAAAATGATTACTGGAGTCGATATTTTGTAAAATACCACCTCTAATTCAACGGCTTTCAAAGAATGATCACTTTTCTCAGAATCTCGTTCTATTATCGAGTAGACTTTAATGCACTGAATAGTCGTTTCACAATAACTAACCCATTTGAAGTCAGATAATTTTCTAAGGGTAAAATACCTAAATTGATAATGCCACAACTCTGACTTTGAAACGATATATATGAAGTTATAAATTGTTTGAAATATTTATGAGAACTCACGCTTATTAACCAGAAAAGCAGTGTTCATTGAAACAAAAGTTTTTATTTTATTAGTTACGTTGAAATTTGTGGCCAAGTGAATGAGACACAATTCAGTCACATCGGGGCGCGAATGAAATCGGAAATCTAATCCTTTTTGCATATTATAAAATTAGATAATTTAAAAGAGTTTTACTCTGCAATTCTCAATATAATATCACGGGAACTTATCTATCACAAATTCGACACATATTTTCGAATGGAAGACCCAATACATTTTCATATTTTCTACATCATACTGTTGTTTCTCAAACTTTAACATGCTAATCATTTTCCGTCTTTGTTGTATAGTGGACATAATCCAAAATTAAAACAGCAATAGTTGACAGAAGATAAAACAGATTCTTTAATATTAATTTGCGAGTTGCAACGCTCTACACTTCCTACGTTAATAATGATAGTGAAGAATTAGAGTGAAAAATCCCTAACAACATGCCTAAGAGTTTTGATAAACATGACGCTACCCTTCCCTCCCCGAAAAAATTCAATAAACCATATAAAAATTTTACCAGCTATTTTCCATGCTATGCAAATGTCATTAACAAAAATAGCATTTGTTTAGTGTTTAGTCTTCATCTCGTTTAAGAGTTATTCTTTCAAAAATAAAGATTAAATCTATAATTTATTTAAAAATTAATTTTAATTTTTTGCTGAACCAGTTTGCGATTAGATTTTCCAAATTCTGTAATAACGATTAATACTCACATTTCACTCGATTTACGCAAGAAAGTTGATTAACATAAAAAGGTATATAATAAAATATAAATGCATTTTGGCACTCCAATTAGTAGAATCAGTTAAGAAATCTATCATTACATGTATTGTGTCTGAGCGAATGTATGTTTAAATATAAGTTACTTTAAGGCACTTCCTGTTTAAACCGGCAGTGGTTAAATATATTCTTCGGTTAGGATTTTGATTGCTTAATGCAAGATAAACGCTATAAAAATGTCGTTCCCTCCTATCATGATGTAAAATTGATTCATCTAGAAACATAACAGATTCGTTTATTGTTTTTACCATTCTT